ATAATACTAGTATTAGTTTACTGTTATTAATAATGTTTATCATTATTAATAATATATACACACTAGGAGACAAGATTCACCTTTTCCTGCTCAAGGGCTTGCTGCAGGCTGGTACGGTACTGTGGTGTCTTCATGTAGGCCATGAACTGCAGGTACTGGACTTTCACGTTATCTAGAGCACAAGCAAAGAGGTTTACGTTAACTGGGTGACTGACTATGAAACTAGAGCAGATACATTAGCATGTCTGTGGGACTGAAATGGATCTCCTCATGCTAAATATGGAAGGAGAGCAGGCGTAAGTGAGGCTGAGTGAACTTACCGAGAAGAGCCTGCAGGCCTGGTGGAGTGTTGCCCATGAGAAGCTGGCTTGATGTATAATGCTGCACTTTGGGAGGTAGCTGATAGAACGGACTTTGTGGTGACCTGTATACATCTGTGGATTGATCCAAACCACAAAAGTCAATGTCAAAGGTACTGATGCTGTTAAATAGCCAGCAAAGACGTGATGGTTTTAAGTAGTGCTGGGCAATGATTAATTTTTTTTAGCCGCGATTAACCGCATGATTTTGCTGCGATTAATCACATTATTATGCGCAAAATTCAATAATGAATTGTAAATCTCAACTTTAACATTAATGTAATCAAATTAAAATCTCCTTTTCATACAACTCGTGTATTCTTCTTGTGATGGTGCGTCTTGAGGGAGGCTCATTCGTTGCGATCATAAGAACGTTCGCCTATTTTTGACGGAAGCCGCATCCAAGCCGCACAGTAGAAACAAAATAAAAGTCCAAAAATCCTGTCAATGTCAAAATAAACACCCTGCGCAGACTCCCGATCATATTTCACATCACTATATCCTTGCCAGGAGGCCAGAAATGGTATGTGAAATGTAGATACAAGATAACTGAGGACGTGTTTTAGACAACTATACGGAGCTACAAATCTTTTATCCTTGTCGTTCATAACAGGACTTTTAAATTGTATTAACTTTGTAGTCTACAGCACAACAAAATAGGACATAGCAATAAATACGACTATAAACAGAATTAAACTGGACAAAACTATGGATGCATCGATCCGATACTCAGGATCGGTATCGGCTCCGATAATGGCATTTTCTGCCGGATCGAGTATCGGTTAGACGAACCGATCCAAATCAGATATTGTGCTTATACTATTCTGTGTTATTGTTAAGCCCCACGAAAGCACAAACACATTATAAAGCACCATAAAGTGAAAGTCCAAGTGTTCTGAAGCTGTTTCATAGTTCAGTGTGAGGTACAGATGAATATTTAAGTCATTACATTCAAGTTGACGTAAACTCTTCTCCCCGCTGCGGCTGTCTGTCATCCTCCATTCAGCATTCAAACTGTGTGTCGCATTTGGTTACGACAGTCAAGACGATGAAACTCTCTCCAAGAGCGCACAATAACTGAGATTTAAAACTGTTAAAAGAAAAGGCTCAATATCGCATAGATTTAATAAACTACGCATCAATATCTCTTTCCTTTCCAACAAAAGGAACCTGCGCGCTGTGACTCCGTGTTGCTTCAAGCACATCATTCTGCACACGGGATGCGCATAAGTGCTTTGTACCACTCTGTATTGGAGTTTATATTTATATATAAATACATTTACTTGTTTTCATTAATGTATTTTTGCAACAATACAGAGAGCAATGTGTAACATTTTACCAAATGTAGTCCTACACTTATTCACTTTCATTTGTTCCCCACTAAATAATGTTATTTCACTAAATGTTTAGATTTTATAAAATTGTGCACTCATGATTTTTCTAGAATAAATTTGCTGCTAAATTATCCACTAACCTAGTTTATAATAGTATTTTTGTGATAGATTATTATATATTTTTTTCATTAAAATGAAGTTGTCTATATTTAGTAGATTGTGTTTAACACACAAAAGAGTGACGATCAGGTCAACACACAGATGTATAGAAATTCTACACTGATAAAAAAACAAAAAAACAAAAAAAACCTGCACTGGTATCGGATCGGATCGGAATTGGCCGATACTCAGAATTTTCTGGATCGGATCTGAAAAAAATGGAATCGTAGCATCCCTAGACAAAACACAAACATTTAGCCAACTTAGCCATGATAACACAAATAATCAAGACAAACAACGTCGGACAGGAAAATCACATGGTCTCATGAATCCTGTCGCTTTGCTTCCGAAATGCTCCTGGTGTGAGTTGGCACCGCGTGGAGGATGGAACAAAACCTCGGCGGAGCTGTAACACGCCGCAGACGCGTGCAGTGTAAATAAGGGGTTGCACCGTGTCCACACCGGATGTGACAGTTGTCGCCCGCAACAGCTAAAGTCTGTCTACACTGGATTTTGTGTCAGCATATCATAAATAGAAAGAAGCAGCAGTTTACTGTCGGGGATTTGTCGTGTCGCGACGCATCCAGTGTAGACAGCATCACTGATTATAATGGGTTCTATAGTAGGCTATTTTGTTGCGTCACGCCACTCGCTTCCAGTGTACACGGTGTTAGACCCACCCCAAATGCTATCATTGGTTAAGACGCATGATGATGCCCATCCCAAACCAGTACTGATCAACATCCCTCCCCTCCTGTGACCCATGGTTTGTCTGTATGTGTATTCAGAGCCAGTGTGCAACGGACTTTCAAAATAATAATAATAATAATAATAATAATAATAATAATAATAATAATAATAATAATAATAATAATAATAATAATAATAATAAAAACTGCGTTAACGCGTGATAAAATAATTGTCTGCGTTAATTAATTAATGCGTTAACGCGATAACGCGTTAACTTGTCCAGCCCTAGTTTTAAGTAATTGTCTCACCCTGATGGGGGGCCGCTGAGAGGGTCTTTGCGTGCAGCAGATCAAGGGCGCTCTGGCTCTTCTTGTTCTTGCGCTCGGCTGCAGTGGCAGCAGCAGCCTTCTTAGGCCGCCCACGCTTCCTGTTGCCTAGCTTGCGGCCCCTGGGCAGCAGTTTGGCCCGGCGGGGTTTCGGTGACGGTTTCACTGGCACGAGCGAGTTTGAGCGCTTCTCCTCACCACCAAAATCATGCCGTGTCTGGTGCACAAGGATAAAGAGATATTTCATTAATATGATAAAAAAATAAAACAACAAACTAAATGTTAAATAATTTAATATGTAAATTTTAAATACATTTAAAATGTATAAACTTATAATACATAAATGAATAAACATAATATGAGTGATTCCATATATGATTAATAATTTAAAATAAATAAATGTATTCATATGTAAATTTAAAACAAATTTATAAATAGATAAATGTATAGAGAGAGAGAGAGAGACAGAAAAGAAACTTCATAAATAAATTCATAAACGTTCAAATAGATAAGCTTGAAATAAATGTATAAAATGCATTTAAAATATATACAATTAAAATAAATACAATTAATTAAATGAGCGATTCCTGTAGGTCTACCTTGTGCTCCTTGGGCTTGGTCGGGGTGGTGGTGTTGCTCTTATTCTCCTTACTGTCCTTCTGCTGGCGCCTTCTGGCTGCCTCCTGCTCCTCCTGGAAACAAAAACAAGCCGCATGTGTTGCGGGAAGAGATATAACTTGATATTTTGTCCAAAAACCCATAAACAACATGAGGATCAAACAAGTCTTACCCTGAGTTTAGGATTTTTGAGACTAGAAAAATAGTTTTCAAGCTGCAAAAAGAAAAAGCGTTTGGTTAGATAAATATGTAATAAATCTACATACATGTGAAAGTCACTGCTCAAAGAAGTCTCTTTTTGGACAACTGCGTGACATGAGAAAGCCACACTCAATGCCTTTTGCCTAACAGTGAAGGCTAATGCAAATCAGAGACCCATTGTACACAGAGAGGAACGGCAAAACCCATGTGACACAAATGAAAGGGCACTTACTATGGTGCGGTCTATTGTATGCAGATAGTACGACACTGGCTTCCCCGTCCATGACACCGATCCCCTCAGAGGGGACAGCTCAACTACTCTCATTATTGTGCCAATATCTTAAAAAAGAAACACAAAGACCATTAAACTTTGGAAAGGTGTGGTCATATTTACCTTTGCTCTGCAAAATTTCGAAACCCAGTCTTTTCAGTATGAATCTGTATAATTGGGAATTTTGCGTAAGGGCGAAACTCCTCTCTACGCAGATTTTGCATAGGGTTCAGGTTTTTCACGCAAATGGCCAACAGAAAGCTGCTTGGTTTGACTTTTGAGAGAGCAGTGCTTCATACATCACTACAGTAATGACAATTTGTGCTGCAAAATTTTTGCGCATTAGTGAAGTTTCACACGAAAAGTCAATAGCTTTGAGATGTATGACCACCTTTTCCACACTATCAGAATGACTGGATTTAGTCTGTGAAATTTCACAGAGCAATGTTAAATGTGACCGCACCTTAATGCTTACTATTATCATGGTATTACCGTGGTACCAAAGTAATATATCTTTAGAGTTAAGAAGACTACCATGACAGTTATTGTATGGTTCCATCTTTTTGTAAGAGAAACCTACAAAGTTTTATACTTACCACTCAAGTTTCGGCTGTTTATTCTGAAGTTAAGAGGTGCAAAAGGTTTTGAGGATACAATTTTTCCACCTACAAGAGACGAAATTGAGTCAAAACACTCCCAAGTAACATAGAGAGGAGAAAACCTAAGCACATATCATCCCAACATCTGCAGATCAATGCGAATCAAAAAACAAGACTGACTGGGGTCAAAGGTCAAGAATAACATGTTGACACAGGTGCCTACAAGCTACACTGACACTAATCACAAAACATTAGCAGCTAAGTGCTATTTACTTCATGTTAGGGCTGCACAAAATGGTCAAATGTGATTATTTAGACAAATTTTGTGATTTGAATCGATTAAAAATATTTAACGCAAATAAAATTACAGGGAAACACCATGTACCTTCCTTCATGTTGGCGAATCGTTCCTTCAGCTGGTGGTCCACCTCAGGACCAAAGGCAAAGTTATTCACAAAAATAACACTGTAAAAGAGCACATCACACTATAGACTTATACAAGACATATAAGCAACATGCAAACAGTTGAAGAAATTATGATAAAAATAAAAAAACCGCATGGATCTGGAAACTGCTAACTGGTTATGTGCATCTAAATAGTCTGTATGTGATCATACCTTGTGTTGGCTATTCGATCCCTCCATTCTTCTGAAAGGAAATCTCCCCTTTCCAGCTGCCACACAAGACCAAACAACATCAGTATGCACAGATTTCATCCCTTCAGTTACAATAATGAGGTTTTCATAAGTGATAACATCTGCTGTGATAAATGAACACACACTTACCGTGTACTCGCCATGTTTTTTGCCATACCACTTCATCCATCTCTTAAACTCCCTGTCCATTGACTGTAAACACATTCAGACATAAATATTAGTTCAAAACGTACACTTTGATGCAGACTCGAGAAGTTGGCGTGTATAAGGAGCATTTAATGTTGGCTTCCTGTTGGTACCTCTCCATAGGTTGCTGGAGTGTCTGCTTTCTCCACGCCGTAGTAGTGTTTACAGCTGGTGGCTGCAGCGACTTGCAGGACTACCTGACCAACTCCTGTAAATCAAGCAAAGACGACACTGTATGTCATATAAAGATCTTTCAGTCTTAAATTGGTAATCAAGATCTGTTTACATGGCGGTGAATTTTCTGAGTTGTGTTTTCTGATTAGCTCTTGCATTTTATTGGACTTTCACTCTTAAAACTCCCACTCAGAGCCTGTTAAGACGAATAGTCGCAGTTGAATTTTCTGATTCCCAGTTGCGTTTTCCAATGCGCTCTTCTATTTTTATTATCTTAAAATCAGGGTAGGCAATTTCTGAGAGGTTGGCAATAGCAAGCTAGCTTTGAAAGCATAAGATCCCACCCTCCCTGCAAATCACTCTCCAAAGCCACGCCTCCTCCAAAACAATAATAACCCTTCCATTCTCACTCAGTCCGCAAAAGCATAATGGAACGAGCTGATGACGTATCATGCTGCGCAAACAGGGTGGGCATAGGTATGCAAATATATATGTTGACAGGCAGGTAGGACAGCCTATCATAGCCCTTGGACCGAGGAATATGATTAGACGAACATTTTACGGTCCTACGCCTTCCACAGACGATATAAATACATTTAGACCACTTAACTTGTGATTGCTATCAGGATGTGAAGAGATTTTCAACCAGCATAACAAAAAATGTTTTGATCCAAATCACCTACCCTGCCTTTAAACTGCAACTCAAGGGCTGTTTATACTTGTGGTACTGAATTCGCCGTTGCATTTTGCAGTTGCATTTTCCGATTAGCTCTCGCGTTTTATTGGACTTTTAGTCTTAAACTGCATCTCAAGTCCCATTTATACCAATTATGGCACTGAATTCACGTTTTCTGACTCGCAGTTGCATTTTTATTGGACTTTCAATGTTAAACTGCTACTTTATACCAATAATGGTATTGAATTTGCTTTTGTGTCTTCCAGTTCTCATTTGCGTTTTCCAAATTGCTGTGGTGTTTTATTGGAAATTCACTCTTAAACTGATAGTAAAGATCTGTTTATATCAATTATAGTCATTAATTTTCACGAGTTTTCCAATTAGCTGTGCATTTTTGTTGAACTTTCAATCTTAATCACTAATCAAGACTTGTTTAAACCAATTATGGCAGCGAATTTGCAGTGTTTTTTCAATTTACGGTTGAGTTTTCTGATTTGTGAAATTCACTTGAGCCACCATTGAAAAGGCCTTCTATAACAGACGTTACTGACCACTGCCCAGATCCACAAAGGTGTCCTCTTCCATCATCTCCATCTCATTAATGATCTGAGCCACCAGGTCGAAAGAGGTCTCTCCGTACACCTCAGGAGAGAACGGCTCGTAGTTGTTGAGTTTCTCTGGGTCGGTGATGGAGTGGTTGTAGACCTGATGCAGGATGTGACGCAGCAGGCCTTTGGAAGGCCGCTTGTTCAGTTTCATGGGTTGGGTGGTCCCTTTCCACTGCAACACACAAACATAAAATTTTACACGTTGTTTGAGGTAAAAAAAAAAAAAAATCTGTTGTCCACAAGAAAGACTTGACGTACCAGTTGGTGAATGCTGTCAATGGCTCTGTTGTACTTATCACACAGTCTCTGCATACTCTCAAAGCTGCAAGAAAACACAAAAATAAATGATTATCTATGAAATCTTTTATCATCTCATAATAAACCATGAGGCTTGTGCTCAGATACAAGAAAAGCAAAAAAGCAGCAATATATCCAGGCTAATATCTCCTATTTGTACTGCATATAATAAAAACAATGATTCATCCCGCTTCCATTAAATATTTATTATATTTAAAATTAAGTAGAAATAAGTTAGAAATATTTAACTTGTAATATTTTGTGAAACTTTTGTCATTTCAACTTTCAACAAACAAATCATTCATGATCATTCTATTAAACAGTATATAATAAAATAATAAATTAAACAGTAATAAATAATAATTTAATTTGTAATATTCTGTGAAGCTTATTTCATAATATCTACTTTCATAAAACTAGTAATCAAACTACAACTAATAAATTGATGTGTGATACTTATTAAATATTCTAATTTTGAAATTAAGTGTAATTCAAAATATTTAATTCGTAATATTCTGTGAAGCTTGTCATTTCATAATACCGACTTTCACAAAACTAGTATCCAAAAGTATAAATAAATACATGATCAATCATAATAAAATTAATCATATATAATTTAAAAATACATTATTAAACCAGTTATTATTATATTAATACAATAAAATATTTAGTTTAATTTATTCTGTGAAGCTTTTTTCATTTAATATCTTTCACAAAAATAGCATTGCATTACATTATTTTATAAGCATGTACAATTGCCACTTTTAATAACAATAATAATAAATGATTAATAATAAATTAATATTTAAATTTAAAAAAGTATAATTAATAATAATTATTAAAAACAATAATAATTATTATAATTAAACAATTAAATATATTCTTATTAATAATTATAATATTAGTAGTAGTATTGATATTATTATTAATTTATTTTTAGGCTTCATTTTTCAATGATACCTAATCAACCCTATTTATGAGACCATTTTGCGACAATTTCCTCACCTCTTGGTGTCGTAGTCGATAAGAACGTAGTTCTCCATGGCCAGCTTAAGATCTGGGATCTCTTCACACACCCAGCTGGACAAAGAGAAGAGAGAGGTCAAGTTTTAAATTGATAATATACCTATTATGCACATAAAACTCACAGAGCAGTCAAACATAACAGCAAAATCAAACCAAAAGACTTGTCACAGACTTACCGAATGGTTTCGATGATTTCATGTGCAGCATCATGATGTTTATCCTGGGGAGAAGGAAAGAAATGCTGTGAATAAGCAAAGTCCACAATTAATGTTTTACTTACTCGCCAGACCACTCATTCGGCAAATGACATGTAGTTATCTATCCAGTTGGGCTGCGACGATAAATCGATGCAGAATCGATTCGTGGCTCGATTCTGAGATCTTCCAAAAGCATGGCGATTCTCTCTGGAATCAATTCTGAGCTTAGATTTTAACAGAAGATGGCGCTCTAATCTACTTTTTATCCACACACTCAAATGCTCATGAAGAAGAGCGCTGAAGAGTTCGGCTAAGTCTGTAATTTCACCTCGGATCAGAATGCTTTTATGACGCCAGATTAATGTAAACACAGCCCACTGTGAACACCCTTGTAATTCGCTTCAACCTTTTTCGAATTTTATGAATGATTATTTTAGGTTCAGTGTGTGTAAGGATTTGGAAACAAGCAGAGTACGGCTGTTTCTAAAGCCTGCAGCGCCATCTGCTGTTCAAAACTAAGCTCAGAATCGACTCGAGAAAGAATCGCGATGCGTTCGGGAAATCTCAGAATCGATGCGGAATCATTTCTCGATTCGCGATGCATCGATTTATTTTCCCAGCCCTACGATCCAGTGTTAATTGTTAATATTTTAGACATCTGAATTGTTTTAGTCAACTAAATATCATAAGATTTTAGTCGACTAAAGGCTCGGTTATACTCCAGTTTGGACACGTACACGGACAGCTGCGGACTACTTGTATTTATACTACTGAAAGTGTATGCTGGGGTCCGCTGTTCGACACATGCACATTAGACCGGCTTGAACAGTAAACAAACATGGGCAATTTCCCTCCATGAGTTATTGCACATCTGGCTGTCTTTATATTGTTTTATCAACGGATTGTAGAGGTGCGGGTATCGACGGACTTCTTCACACAGCCTTTCTTCAAATTCGACATCCATGCTGTTTTTCCAGCGCATGGGCAGTTGGTGCTTTTGTAGCATAGTGACCGAGCGTACTTGTCCACGCAGTCACATAAAATGGGAGGCACGCAGATGTCCGCAAAGAGCCTCTGCGTACACCCTCCGATGACGATTTTTATGTCACACGGACCATTGCGCACTCGTGCACGCAGAAAATATAACACTAGCTTCAATCTACAGTAGATTTAGTTGGCTAAAATCTAATGGGTTTAGTTAGTGTAATGCATTTATTAAGCATTTCTCTAAAATGTCCAAACTCATACTGTATAGGTTTGATATTAAGGTTTTATCATGTAATATAGACACAGATTTAACTGCTGTGACACACAACATGCCTTTATATTGAAATTAAATAAAACCACTTCTCATAAAGAAACAAGAACATGGTCCTCCTTTCAATGAAATACCAATGCTAATATAATATTCATTCTTTATAAAAACTTTATCTGCATGAAACAAGTTTCTACAACTACAACAGAAACTTGACCTTTCCAGTTTGTGACGGGTCACGGATCACAACTGTAGCACATTCCTGCACACACAGCAGCCAGTGTGCCTTCAAGCAGGCGAACAAGTTTATCGTGCACACATGGCCGGATAAGTACATTATGGCACTATAAGCCGTCACTGATCCTGTGCGTTACAGTATATGAATGCACAGTATAATATACAGTATTTTAGAATAAACATCGGGTGTGCAAAAGAAAATGGGCCCTATTGACAAAACACAAGTAAAAAGAAGTGTGATTCATATATTAGAGTTATTTAAGTATTATTTATATACTATTGTAGTATTTATTAATATTTTCACGTAGTTTTTATATTTCCATTTCTCATTTTTATTTTAGTTTGTTTTCCTTTTTTTACTGACTGGTATGTCAGTGTTATTTTGGTATAATTTATATACTATTGTAGTATTTATATTTATATTAATATTTTTAATCAGTTTGTGTTTCTTTTTCCCTTGTTAATTTTAATTGTAGTCATTTTATGTGCTTTTGTTAGTTGTATTTTTCTGTATTTTTATTATTAATTACTAATATTTATATATAATTTATTTTAATTTTAGTGTTCGTAATTTTAGTACTTCAACTTAAACAAAAAATACAAATGTTGCAACTAATTGGAATAAGTTTTTTTTTTAAGTTCAAGTTTTTCATTCTTGTATTATTTTATTTCATTTACCAAAATTGGTATGTTAAACATTAACAAGGATTTATTTTGCATTAAAAATGTATTTCCGTTTTAGTAACTTATTTCAGTTAATAGAAACATTTCTACTTTTCGTCTAATATTTACATTTTATTTTAATTATCAAAACTGCTTTAAACATAAACAAGGCTCAGAGGTCAATATGTATAATTATCGAGGCTAATTAACCCTGGATTGTGTCTAACGTGAATGCGACCCCGCCGAACTCTATCCATCCTGCCGCTGGAGCTCTCCTGTTGCCTGACCCAGTGACCCACTTTCCGTCAACAGAGTCCTGAGAAGCCCTCTGCCTGCCTGAGTGTGCCGCTGCTGGGCTCCTCTGCCTCGCTAAGCTCCTCCTAGCTGTTTTCCCGCTCAGCTGCACATACGGCGAATCTCGTGTTCTTCCACCCACCCCTGCAGCACCAAGGCAGCGTCACAGCACTGGGTAATAATGCAGCCATAGTCTGAGGCAAACAAGGGCACTTATTTAAAGCAGGGATGCAGCGTTATTTCAATATTGCGTTAAATGCAAACGCTAAGACAGATGGCGGAGTGTGTACGTGCACAAGCAGACACTTCAGCGCATCGTGCTGCACGAGAGGAGGGGGGGCAGCGGCGCGTGTGTACGGGGTGTTCCGGCGCACAGCAACATCACAGCTAAAAATATCCAGAGGAAAGGAGGGGAGGATGACAGAGAGCAAAAAATAATGCACGACAGCCCTTGGTCTCAAGCAGGCAAAAACGGACTCTTCGCTCACCTCATGCACCCTTGACATGACTCACGGAGAGAGGTGGAAAGAAATCACGCCTCGTGAACACTCGTCCTCACTGCACAACTGTTGGTTTTGGCTAGGGCGGCGAAATGCCACACCTTTGTGTATTAACGGGTTTAACCAGGTCATAGCATTCAAACTGTTAGATTGGTTCGATTATAATTCCTCAGTCTAAACGAATCATTTTGTAGCCAAGTTTAAGGAAATTACGCTTTCATATGGAAGCAATTACAGGCCATCTAAGTTTCCAGATATAGGATGTAAATGTGGCCGGATACGTAGGTTACAAGAGCGTAGGGAAGAAAGAAAACAGTGAAGCTCAGTGTTCGATTTAAAACCCTCTCCTTCCTCCCACCCCAGGTGAGTGAGATGCTTTTGTCTGGAGCACAATGTGAAGCCATGAGGCAAAATGGCACGCTAGTGGACGAGGAGCGGCAACAGCCAATACGACAGCGGGAGAGGAAATATCCCTCGGCTGTGTCTCTGAAAAACAAGATTTGAATGAATGGAGGGCATTTGGGCCTTTGTAAAACACTGTCACCTTGAATAAAAGCAAGACATTTTAAAGCAGGGAGAGGAAAACATAGCACTTTACTTTCTCACCCATCTCCTCTTTTTCCACGTCTGGGGTGTTTAAAGGGTTAACTCGCCCAAGAAATAAGCATTTTGTCATCAATTATTCACTTGCATGATGTTTGCAACTCGTATGACTTTATTTGTTCGGAGAAGCACAAAAGGAGAAGTTTTGTAGAATGTGTACGCTGCTCTTTTCCATACAATGAACGGGAATGAAGACTAGGTTAAGGTATTCACAAGCTCTTGATTCAATTTGGTACAGTTCAGCTATAATGTCCATTCTGATAACATATGAAAGAAATTCTCTTTCTCCAAATGTTGTAAATATAGGGTAGATTCAAATCATCTTCTTGAACCGTTTATTAATAAAACCTGGCTGTATGTTCTTGATTCACTAAAAAGAAATGGCTCATACGAGTCATTCTATTCGGGAATCAGACTACAATGGCTGCGCTGTACATTTTTGATTCACTAATAAGAATCGGCTCATAAGAGGCATTTGTTTCAGTAATCAGACTATACTGGTCGTGCTGAATATGTTTGAATTAGCAACAAGAAACATAAGAATCATTTCTTTCGAGAATCAGGCTACACTGGTCATTCTGTATATTTATGATTCACTAAAAAGAATCACCTCATGAGAGTCATTTGTTTGGGAATCAGGCTACACTGTTCATGCTGTATATTTCTGATCCACTGGCTCATAAGAGGCTCATAAAAAAAAAACTCCATTCACTTGCACTGTACAGAAAAAAAGCAGCGTGAAAATTCTGCCAAATATCTCTTTTTGTGATCTTAAGAAGAAAGCTAGTCATATAAGCTTTGAAGAGCATGAAGGTGACCAAATGAACACACCAAATACACCAAATAATGATCTTTAAAAAAGCATCATATGACCCCTTTAAGGGAAGTCTAAATCACCAGTGCATGTGGATAACCACCGCCCAGACTCCTAATTAACAGAATCCGCCCCTCCCTAAACAAAAATTTGCAAGGCAAGTCTAAAGCTTGCCAAATGCGTGCGCTCTGTAATTCTGTTCACCCAACAGCAGGTCAGAAATATGGCTCTCAGTAGGTGGGGCATCCATCCCTTATCAGCCAAAGTCAACGACGGAAGTCGTCTGAGGCCAAGCGAGACAGTAAAACCACTGAGGCCACGACTACTACTGTAACCTGAATGACATAAATGAAAGAGACTGGAGTTTTTTGTGATGCAGCAGCTCTGAAAACCTATACTTCTGAGAAACCCACATTCTCGGTTTGTGTAAAAAGAACATGAATCGTAGTATATTAAACATTGGGAAGGACAAATGAGACAGCCATTTCTGTGGAAACCACAGGCATTGATCAGCACCCCCCTATTTCCGTCTATGACCGAAACAGAGTTGGCAACTCTGGTGGCGTGAGAAATGTGAACTTTCGGTTGACGTGAGGACTTTCCGAACACATTCTCGTAATAAAATATTAAAATAAAATACCCCGTCTTGTTTTTTCTTTAGTTACACTGAAAATGAAGCCATTTCCTCATCTTTTAGACCATAAATACTACTCAAACTGCCTGCTATAACAGGGTAAATAGCAGTGCATATGTGTGTTTTATGGGGGGTCTCGGCCCACTGTCAACCGGTTCAGCAGCTCCGCATCACTGGAGTTAATCACAGCGTGGAATCTGTGTTGTGATTACTGTACATGTGCAATGACTGTACAATGCTTTCAGAAACAACACAGACAGAAGAACAGTGTCTGACTCAGAGCGGATGATACGACACCAAACAAGCCTTTTTGACACCATTTAGGGCTCAATAATCATAGAAACTAGATGAATAAATTTTCAAAAGAAAATGTAAGCGGAAAACAGCTTGTCACCAAAATGCTAGGGCATTCTGGGTGGTTGCCAGAGCATTGCTACAGTGTTTAAGAGTCCCCTACCATCAAGTGTCCATGATATTCGCAACTCTAAAATCCGTTTCTCAATCTAATTATGTTTTTTTTTTTTTACAGTTTTATCTTCTACCAGTTGAAGACCACAAGCCTGATCGTAAAAGTCCAAGGTTTTCACATGTACCCAACACGTAACGTAATTTCGCATCAGTATAGTACGCAATTTTTCAGAAGGTGCTCACAAGTAAGCCAATGGGCAGGGCTTGATGTACAGCTCCACCTCTCTGGACATAACGGGTGGAGCTTGAAGGTCCAATCACACTCTAACCTTAAACATAACCCAATCGCTAAACATAACTAGGTAAAACTACATCCATTAGGTCGACAGAGGCGGAACTAGACTAGGTCAAGCTCCACCCATTTGGCTCTGCAGTGAGCACTCAGATTTTTCGGACTTCATGCATTACAATTTTTTTTTTTTTCCCCCTCTAATTAGTTGTTCAACAAGGTGGCAACACAGATGCTAAATGTTGTTTCACAGTCAAAAAAGAAACAGAATAACAACAGACTCTTGCACTTGTATGAGGGGGTTCAGAAATTAACCAATTCTAGTTTAAATGAGTACAAAGATTTTTACAGGTCATATCAGGATGAAACTTTACAGCACACATACAAAAACAAGGTACACTTTGGCCTTTAGAAAAAAATGAGGTGTCATTCGTGTTTTTAGTACAGTAACAGTACAAGATAAATAATGCACCAAATATTTAATACTTAGGAGTCCATTCAGTGTGTAATAATAATAATAATAATAGTTAGCAAGCTTCAATAACAACATATATGCTGGAAAGCTACCTTAAAAAGCCAATATTCAAGTCCAGCAGGTTTTACAACCCCCTAGTAGCCACTAAAAAGTCAGTTATTGCCAAACTTCCTACAGAATCCTGCATACTAGCTTGTTTTTCAAGAAATGTCAGCCATACGGGTTACATTATGACACTCTGTCCCTTTCAAGATGCATCCAGATCTGATGGTAACCGAAATACAGCACTATCCCAATGCAAGGGCTGCCAAATGAGCAAACGCGTTTTTAGACCTCGGTGACAAATTTGATACTTCCAGAGCAGTACACAATACTTCAAAAGAAACTGAAAAACTGTAAGATACCCGTTACGGGACACAAATCAAAGCTATCTGTCAATAAAACACACTAACAATATGGAGATACCGTCCTCTCGCCTGAGTGCACTAACGTTACTCGCCTTTTGTTTGACACCCTCCGTGTGATATTGAGCCGGCACGACGCTTATTTCACCCTAATATATCCACTACAGTTCTCCATACACACAGACTCATGGCGGATATTTACAATGTTTAAGTTATCTACAGTTTGACGAGTGTTAGTGTTGGGTAGAAAGCGATAAAGTTAGCTAGCCCTGCTATCTGACTGTTAGCATGACGGCTAACGTGAATTTCAGCCCCCGTTAACATTCTTTGGAAACAGAGTCATACAAACTGTCGTTTCAGGCTTAATACGTGCACTAATGTACGTTTAAACCGTTTGCTCAATAACCTTGCGTTTCTGAGGTAAGTGTTTTACACAAACTCTCTGCTATGGCAGGTTTTGTTTAGCGGCGATGGCTCAAACTCTAGTGAGCTGCCTACCTAGTGAGCGAACCATCGCTCGTGTTTTAGTCAACTAAAGCATATAATAAATTATAATATTTTAGTAAATAACGTAAGACATGTTAAGGTATTAGTATAAAGAATCGGTTCAGTGAATAATGCTCGTAACATCCAAAAATAAACTCACTTGTCAACTAAGTTAATTGGCATAATAAATACAACCTCTAGAAAGGGGTCACTGACATAAATGAAACTAATTCAAATTCAAAAGATTTGAATCACAACAAAGACGTCATTTTGTTATCATTTACGTGTCTGATCGCGTTAGAACTGCCAAGCAAGCGTAAACATGTTGCCTAAGTAGACAGCTTACTAGGATTTGAGACGCAGCCACTGTACGAGATGGCCAACTGGGTCAGCAGGCTACACACAGTATTTCCTGCTATTCAAATGTTAATATTAGCTAAGGTTATAATACATTTTATATTTTTTAAAACAAAACGGACTATGTCGTTTCAAGGCTATCTAATGTTTAGTGGTCTTCCGAACACCTTTATGAAGATATATACGTTCAGGGTATATTCAACACTTTTAGGATGTATTGACACTCTCGTGTCCCAATTGTAAGCGTCTCTTGGTTCTTAAAACACTAATATTTAAATAAACACACTACAAAAAACACAAGATATTCACACATTATGCACTCGTACTAATACACGTTGTTCTCTAACTAACGTTACATGACCCACTTCGCTTTATCGCAAGGGAATCCCGGTGTTGGTTTCGGTTTATATTAAAACAATAAGACGGATAGTACTTACATATACAGGTAAGGGCCACGGGTAGCCTGCAGCTTCGGCTCCGACCGGCGACTTCAGTTTTAACTCCAGCTTTTCTCCCATTCTCCCCAATACAGCTAATGGACGAGACATAAACTAGAGTAAGAGCATTTTCCGTGAAAAAAAACCCGGGTTTAACGCGACAGGATCTCACGTTGGATATCGCAGGCTGCGGGTGTTTTCACACAGTTGCGCTGCACGATTTGAATCCGATCTGCCCCGGTGAATTAGAGAAAATGATCGGTTAAGCCGAGCGGCTGCTCCGTCTCGGCAGTACCGCCGCCATCTTGACCGGCTCACGATGAAAAAAAAAAATGCGCCCGAGTGTGTATATTGGTCATGGGAAGTTCGAATCATTTATGCGAATCGGTTCTTTTGAACAATTCTTGTCAAAAACAGCTCAAACGAGTCTTTTATGTCATTACGGTCACTGGCGTCCAAAACGTTCCTTAGGCTCGTTTATTACAAAATGTTTATTGTAATTAATGTTTCCCAATTTAGAAACATACACAAATTTATGTTTATATAGGGAAACATTTATGTTTCCTTATCATAGAAACATACACAAAACGTTTATAAAAATAAACGTCTAAACCGGGATAGTGCCCTCATAAATGAAAAGGTTTCATTAAAAATATCTTAATTTGTGTTTCACAGATTAACCAAAGGCGACGAGGGTGAGTAAATGAAGACAATTTTCATTTTTGGGTGAACCGTCCCTTTAAAGGCAGGGTATGTGATTTTTCAAAAACACTTTAGAAAACTGATTCGGGCCGAATCGCAAAACAAACTTGTAGCCAATCAGCAATAAGGGGCGTGTCTACTCGTGATGTGGAGGAGAGCGCGTTCAGTGCATGGGACAGACATTAGCCGAGCCGAGTGACAGAACGATAGAGATGGCGGATAAAAAACAAAAGAGGAAAACGTCTGCGGAACGATAAGGCAAGAAGTAGGACCCGTGTAAATATCGGATCAGCTTTCCAGCGCTGGAGAGAACTCAAGGAGCGGAGGCCTGCGATCGGACGCAGAGGTTGCTTTGTTTCTTCTCAATAGGTGAGTAACACCGTGTCTACAACAACTAAAGTCTGCCTACACTGGACGCGAGAAAGAGGTCAAACGACCGTTGAAAACCATTTGAAATTTAGGGGCGTGTTTGTTTTGGTGATTTCAAATATCAACATTGGCTACCAGAAATCACTTACTCTGCCTTTAACGAATCGCTCACATCGGTTTTGGGAAGCGGTTCAACTGATTCATTGAAAAGATCCGACTCGCATTAAAGATTCGTTCGTGCTGGTAGTCCGCAGGTCGTACCATCAAAACCGAAACGAAAGGGAGAGTGGAAATCGGTATGTATAAAACGAGAGGGGCGAGGCGTCTGTTCTCTGACACACACACACGGCGGGCATTTCTCCTCGACAACTCTCTTACATTGGCTGGGTAACGATGACACGGATCGACAATTAACCGGGCAGTTTGAATCAGGATGCCGGTGCCAATAACCGTTGAATGGGCGGGCCGTACCATTTTTTCCCCCCAGCACATGTGCAGAATGTGAAAGACCCATGTTTACTATCAGGATCAGTTTGCTGGGCCGTTACTGTCAACTTAAAATGCAGAGTGAAAACGTGAAGTGAAACTAATATATTAACTTTCTTTTTAGATAGCATTTTTATTAATTTTCTTGGAAAGATTTGAGAAATTATTCAAAATGATGGTGGCATAAAGGGCAGTCAACATTCATATAATAAACACTTTTTATACAGAGCCTGTAATCCTCAGATAGATAGATAGATAGATAGATAGATAGATAGCATTACATACTGTAATACTCTATGTAATGTATGTTTATAAATATTTCAAATACAGTTCCAAGAATAGTTTATGCAATTTTATATGATTTATTTGAAAGATTTAAAACAGAATTTATTTGAAATTAATTTGGAAAAATTAAAAGCAGTTTCATGTTTATACTAGATTGTTCAACTGGTCGAGGTTAATATAGGATTTAGAAAGTAGGCTAATTAGTAATGCAATACTTTTTTTTTTTAGACAGTAATTAGTACAGTAATTGCACTTTTGAAGATGTAATTAGTAGCTAGTAATTCATTAAACATTTTTAAGAGTAACTTACCCAACACTGCAACCAATGTTATAGTTTGGTGGTTTTTAAAAATTGGTTTTGTAATAGTGGAAAAATCATGCAGTGACGAGCAAGCAAAGCGGTTTCAATTTGTAATTTGGAAGTAAATATGTTACCAAAGCAATTATTTATTGTACATCATGTATTATCATCTTAGTATTAGAATCTAAATGATTTATTTTTTATGATAGTTGTAGTTAAAACAATGACCATAGTTTTATTACGACTGTGGTAACCATACATTTTGTTGAGTGAAATAATCTGTTAATATTATTTCATGCTATATAATGTTCTTCTAATATATTGGCACATATTACTGGTTTTCTATTAATAATGGTTTGTCATTTCTCGTGTCCCACCTTGTAGAAACAAAGTGATTTAGAACCTAAATATAGTTTGTATTTACACACTAAAACCTCATATAACGGATACCAGGAACAAATCTGAAGTACATCTGTGAGCTGTGGCATGTGTTTTAGGTTAAGATATGTTGAAAAAGCACCGATCATAACAAGCAGCCGTTTCATTCTAAATGTGCACTAAACTGGTGTTTAGATGACATCAAGGCTTTAAATATTTTGCCACTACTGAAATGTCAATTTCCTTCTTGCTGAAGTCTAAAGAAACGTGACAGGATTATATATATATAGTGTATATATGTGTAAAATATTTTGTCTTATTATTCTGTTACAGTGATTGTCAAATTTGTTGACATTCCTATTTATTTTGTTTCAGTTGCCAAGGCAAAATTCAGTGAAAATATTAAAATAAAGCTTAATTCAAAATATTAATAAATGCTTTAGTATATAATACTAAATACATCTGGAAACACTTCTCATTTCTGTATAATGTGAATATTAATAAATGCTTTAGTAGTACATAATACTAAAATAACAGAATATATCTGGAAACACTTCTCAAATTATTTAATTTTTTTTCTTGATAAAATCAAACTAAATTAATTGCTAAAATGAGCGCTCTCTCCCACCTTCAATACTACAACTGAGGTGCCCTTGAGCAAGGCACCGAACCCCCCAGCTCAAACCGACGACCCCTATGAACGCATGGTACGCTCCAGCTCTTAAAGTGACAGCTCACCCTAAAATACAAATTCTGTCATCAGTAGCTCATTTTTATGTCGTTCCAAACCCATTAGACTTTTGTTTAAAACACAAATAAACCTGCAAAATTTCCGTCCCTCCATTAAAAAACCAATTCCACCAAAATCATAAAGACATTATAATCCATATGAATCAAGCGGTTTAATCCATGTCTTCTGAAGAGACACAATCACTTTATATGATGAACAGATTTAAGTTTTATTCACATGTAAACATTTATCAACCTACATAGAGCACATCAATTATGGTCAGCGGAAGGTGAAATGTGCCTGCTTGATGCACAAGAGCGAGCCTCATCTACATGGATTACTTTTACAATGTCGTAATGAACTTTTTATGCTTACGAAGCATCAAAGTTTTAGTTACAAGGACTTTCAAATGTAAGGACTGGAATCTCTCAGGTTTCATTAAAAATTTTCTTTATTTTGAGTTTTGAAGTTGAACGAAAGTGGGTGGAATGACATAACGGTGAGTAAACGACGACAGAATTTCCATTATTAGGTGAGCTGTCCCTTTAAGAGAGTTACTGGATCTGAATTTTCAAAAGACATACACCTAACAAGCATTTGAAACTGTTCTTTATTGGCATCAGTGTTTCCATGAAGAATCTTTAACATCTATGGAAACTTTCCATTCCACACTAAAACACACTAAGGATCTTTCATGAACTGATCACTGAAAGGTTTGACAGGTTTCTTTGGTTCTTCTATGGCATCACTGCAAAAATACCATTATGAGACCTTTATTTTTAAGAGTGTAGGTATAGTTGCTGGTCTAGTTGCTCTAACAAGCTTAACCGTAATGCTCCACCAAATCAAAATCAAGTTCATCAGTCAGTAGTCCAGCTTATCAACCATTAAGGGGAAAGTCGTGGCCTAATGGTTAGAGAGTCGGACTCGTAACCCAAAGGTTGCGGGTTCGAGTCTCGTACCGGCAGGGATTGTAGGTGGGGGGAGTGAATGTACAGCGCTCTCTCCCACCTTCAATACGGTGAGGTGCCCTTGAGCAAGGCACCGAACCCCCAACTGCTCCCCGCAGCAAAAATGGCTGCCCACTGCTCCGGGTGTGTGTTCACTACTGTGTGTGCGCACTTTGGATGGGTTAAATGCAGAGCACTAATTCCGAGTATGGGTCACCATACTTGGCCACATGTCACATGACTTTATAATAAGATCTCTATATATATATATATAAGACCTGTTGTTGTTATTACTATTATTAAATTTACATTTCGGATTCAGATTGTGGCTTATCAACATGAATGCAGGCATATTAAATATTTAATTCCATTAAATAGACTCCTTGAAATATTGAGATACTGCATTACTTCCAAAAAATGATGTGAATACCAGCATAACTCGCCAATGAAAGTTGTTCTGCAGTCATCCAAAGACAAACAGCATGTATATGAATAGCAAACCCATCCAAACCACGGACGCAGAGTACCTCCGTGAAGTTGGCCCCCTCCCAGGGCCGTTTCTAGCCAATTTGACGCCCTAGGCGAAATCCCTATTGCCCCCCCCCCAAATTATATATATATATAAAATTCTTCTC